ATTAATACCCACCAAAGCTAAAACATGGTTACGTTGTTCAGGTGGTAACATATCAATTTGTTGTTGTGGAAGATTAAGAACTTGAAGCAAAAGTTGCTAAATAATAATAAATTGATATATTTAGCATGCATATGTGTTACTCATGAAATCATTAAGAATTTCTTTGTTTAATACAGACCGATTTTTGAGCTTCTTGAATTTGCACATCATCTAAATTATGCAAAGGCTGTTTAAATCTCATGGAATTTATCATATTCGCATAAAAATTTTGACAAATAATTCGTTATATTACTTAAACTGAGATTTCCAACCATTCCGGCTACGGAAGACGTAGACGGAGTAACGCCAACATTTCCTATAACAGGCATCATTCCAGTATTCATCACCGGCATTCCCATTGGCGGTTGCATAGTTTGCGTTATTGGTTGTTGCATGGTTTGCGTTATGGGCTGCTGCATGTTCTGCGTCATGGGTTGCTGCATAGTTTGTGCCATTGGTTGTTGAATCATTGGTTGCGGTTGTTGAGGAATCGTAGAATACATAGCAGGTTGAAGTTGCGGTGGCACTGCGGCCGCATTAGGCACGTTAGGCGGAACATAATTTGGCGGAGGAACGAGTGAGGGTGGATTTTGTACAGGATTAGGTTGAGATTGTGCTTGAGGATTGCTATGCAGTAGTACACGCTGCAGATTTATTCATTAAAGATTCTGAGTTAGAAATTTTCATATTCATAATCAAAAAGTAGAACAAAATCTATTACCGGTAGTATTGCTGGATCGACTAAATTCTGTTGTAGCAGTGCTTGAAATAATGCATATGAAAGTTGAGGATTTTGGGCTAATAGTAATCGAGCTTGATCTTGATGTGTTTGGATGAGCAACTTTTGATGAGATTGGTCAGTCAAATAATTAAGAAAGGTGCATTAATCACTAGTTAGATTTGTCAAAAAGAATACCTTCATCGTGGACAAAATTTCAAGAAGTTGAGCCTGAGTCATTGAGTGCTGAACTGTTTGTGAAATACTTTCGATTGCAGATTGCTGCGGTGTATTTTGCGGAACAATTGATTGTGGTGGTTGCTGAGAAGGTGGTGGTGGTCTTTCTACGTTAGATCTTTCAGATGGTGGAATCGAAGGTGCATTTGCGGGATCCCCGTCAGCATAATCAACCCTTAGCTGTCTTCCACCAACCTCTACATTATTGAGATTGCGCACTGCGCTTGCAGCTGTTTCGGCATCTTAAAATCAAATTAATTTAAGATGTAAGAAGCAAGAAGTAAAAAGAATGTCAAGATACGAAGTCTATATACCGTGATATTCGCAAAAACCATATCCTCTAGGCCTTCCGCTGTCTCGATCAAATACAAGACTTCACATCAGAAATATTGATTAGCTTTTAATTGAGTACTCCGATTACAGCGGATCATTGTTAAAAATTTTAAAAATCACAAACCGAAAAGATACGACTGGTCCAACTTCTTTGAATACCTCTGTTAACTGCTCTTCGGTAAGTTCGTACGGTATATTTCCAACTGTAATAATTGCATATAAGTTAAATGCATGTGCTCATTGAAGGTTTACAAAGAGGAAAGTATAAACTACCAAATACAACGTTAGAGCCTCTCGGTCCACTCATCGTTTAATCGCTCAAGCAGTTACAAAAAAAACTCGTTTTCAGTATTTTCTGATCTATTTAAGTTGGAATTACCAAATTTATAGTACAATTGATTGATATACTGTTACCATGAAACATTTGTTGGCCAGAGTTACAAATTGCATAAAATCTCACGATAATCTATGCCAGTCTTGGCAATCACATATTGCATTGCATACCTCTAAGTGCACATGTTTGTATAACATCTAAAATTATTTATTTTGGTTAACCGTGTATTTTTCTAGAATTTCACTAAAAAATTTCGAGGTCAGATTTGCCATTAAAGAACTTTAATCAAAATTTTCGAGGCAAACTTTTTTTGTTAATGCGCAGAAAAAAGTTTAATGGATAAAAATTATGAATATTTTTTGGATTGTTTTCATTTATAGCGGTTGAGTTCTAATTTTCGGTTAAAAAATTGCTCTCATACTTATTTTTTCGACCTTATGCTCGTATTTGCCAACATAATGATTATCTTTCGATTGCAAAAAGTACCCAATACTTCAAGAATTCCTTGGGAAACGAATTGGAAATTTAAAATGATCTTGAGCTAAACAGCATTAAAAACATTAAGTGTGCCACTTCCTACCTGCTGGCATAATTAGGAACGTTCAGACATAAGGCTTCTGTAACATGCACTTTTTATTTGGGATTTTTGATTAAGACATGTTATTTCTGAAGAAGAAATAATTATTTACCTTTTATAATTATAAGTTATTGTCCGGTACCATATGTATTTGATCATATTACTATTATCATAATTCCTGAAACACCTGATAAAAATTAGCCGAATGATTGTTTGGCCGATTCGGTTAAGTTAGTGATT